CTCAAAAAAACAAAAAAAACCCCCAACAACAACAACAACAAAAAACAAAAACAAAAAAAAAAACTACCATACCTTTAAGAAGTGTATAATGTGAAGTAGCTCTCCAAAACAGTTTAATATCTATAATTAGCCTATAATTGTAATTTTTTTTTAGATGGAGTCTTGCTCTGTCGCCCAGGCTGGAGTGCAGTGGCACACTTTTGGGTCAACACAACCTCTGCCTGATAGATTCAAGCAATTCTTGTGCCTCAGCTTCTCCAGTAGCTGGGACTACAGGCATGTGCCACCATGCCTTACTAATTTTTTATATTTTTAATAGAGATGGGATTTCACCATGTTAGCTAGGCTGGCCTCGTACTCTTGACCTCAGGCAATCTGCCCACTTTGGCCTTTCAAAGTGCTGTGATTACAGGAGTGAGCCACCGCACCCAGCCTATGATTACAAATTATCATAATGGACATCCTGAAAAAACATAGGCTACTTACGTGTATAATGTGTCTTTGTTTTGATGTCAGCCTATAGAAAACTCTGCCCCAAAAGTCAGTACTTATGTATATGTATTACTCTCATTCTTACTTACTTTATTGAATAGGTTTTTATTCAATAAAATAGAAGAATAACTATTTTAACCTTGTGAAAACAGTTTGTGTTTAAAATAGGTTTTCTAGCCCAGCTCGATGGCTCATGCCAGTAATCCAAGCACTTTGGGAGGCTGAGGCAGGAGGATCGCTTGAAGCCAGGAGTTCAAGACCAGCCTGGGCAAAATAATGAGACCTGGTCTCTAGATACAGTTAACCAGGCATGGTCAAAAACAACTGTATTTCCAGCTAGTTGGGAGGCTGAGGCAGAAGAATTGAAGTTGAAGGCATTCAACTCCCAGGAGTTGAAGGCTGCAGTGTAAGCTATGATTGCACCACTGTACTCCAGCCTGGGCAACAGAGTGATACGCCACCTCAGAAAAATAAATAAATAAATAAATAAATAAATGGGTTTATATTTAGAAACCAAAACAACATTTTTGATTCAATTGGTTTTAGTACACCCTGATGTTTTTGGAACTTTTTGTTGATTATGCTTTCCTTTTTTAAAGAATATAACTTATGAGTGAATATAACTTGTTAGGAGGCCTCAAGATATATGCATTGGATTAGATGCAAAAATGTAATGGACAGTTTGGCATGTTATTAGAAGATTCTGCAGAGACCTTTTCATGTTTGACCTACCTCAGATGTTTAAAGTGTGTTTTTAATTCTCTGTGCTCCAAAAAAGCATACGTATTAGTACATCTGTGGATTAATGAACTAGAGTACTAAGAGGCATGCTTGGTTTATTGTTCCATCGAAGTTACCTTTTGTACTATTTTATGATCCTATTCCTTCCTGCAATAAATTTTAGAAGTAAGATATGAGCAAATCTCCTTTTTGAGATTAAGATGAAACACAACAAAATTAGAATAGTAGGGACTAGTTGGAGGCTGGGCGTGGTGGCTCATGCCTATAATCCTAGCACTTTGGGAGGCTGAGGTGGGCAGATAGATCGCCTAGGTCAGGAGTTTGAGACCAGCCTGGCAAACATGGTGAAACCTGGTTTCTACTAAAAATGCAAAAATTAGTCAGGCCTGGTGGTGTATGCCTGTAATCTCAGCTATTCCAGAGGCTGAGATGGGAGAATCGCTTGAACCTGGGAGGCGGAGGTTACAATGAGCCAAGATCGCAACACTGTACTCCAGGCTAGGCGACAGAGCAAGACTCCATCTCAAAAACAAAAAAAAGGGCCTTGCGCGGTGGCTCAAACCTGTAATCCCAGCACTTTGGGAGGCCGAGGTGGGTGGATCATGAGTCAGAAGATTAAGACCATCCTGGCTAACATGGTGAAACCTTGTCTCTACTAAAAATACAAAATGTTAGCTGGGCATGGTGGCACATGCCTATAGTCCTAGCTACTTGGGAGGCTGAAGCAAGAGAATCACTTGAACCCAGGAGGTGGAGGTTGCAGTGAGCCAAGATTTCACCACTGCACTTCAGCCTGGGCAACAGAGTGAGACTCCACCTCAAAAAAAGAAAGAATAATAGGGACTAGTTGGAAAGCTAAATTGATTGTTTAGATTACTGAAAGTTGGAAAAGATAATTGAGTTTTTCACATAACTAAAACCTTATAGAAAACTTGCTAAATTTAACGAATAGGTAAGAGTAATTTATGTTTAGTATTATTGAAGCACTAACCTAAGCAATTCTTATTTCAACAGAAATTACAGGTTAATTATAAATAGATATTAAAATGCTTTGGAAATATACTTCCCATTATTTGGTTCCCTTTAGAGATGGGGTCTCACTGTGTTGCCCAGGCCGGAATCAAAGTCCTGGGCTCAAGTAATTGTCCTGCACAACTTCTTGAGTAGTTGGGAATGCAGGTGTACACCACCACCACCACCACCACCACCACACTGGCTCAGGAATTTTTTTTTTTTAATAGATATATATTACACTCTCCTTCTTTGGGCCTCTTACCTGTAAAAGTGGGCCAGATTTTTGCTTTTCAAGCTTTAATGTGTGTGAAGATCACATGAGTATCGTTAAAATGTGGAATTTTGCCTCAGTGGGAATGTGAATTTCCAGCAAGCTTCCTGGTAATGCTGATTCATGTAGTCTACCAAACATTCTTTGAATAGCAAGAAGCTAGTTTGTTTCTGTTTCTCCATGTTCAACATAGAATTTGGTAATGTCTAGCCAGGGCTCGGTGGCACATGCCTGTAGTCCCAGCTACTTGAGAGGCTGAGGTGGGAGGATTGCTGGAGTCCAGGAGTTCAAGTCTAGCCTGGACAACATAGGGAGACCCTGTCTCTTGGGGGTAAAAAAATTAGCAAAATTTTACTAATTCCAATTGTTGTAGTGAGACAAGGGATAAAATGAAGCTTATCTTTTATAGTCAAGACTTTTTGGTTGAAAGGAATAGAAATCAGTTTAAACTAAGAAAAAAAGGAAGATTGTTATAACAAAATGAGAAAAAGAATATAAGAGACAATCTCACTGGCATTTATGAGCAAGAAATATAGTTAGGCGTCAGGGAAAGTGGAATGTTAGGAATCAACAAGTAGGTTAGCTGTATTTCCCAGTTCTGCTTCTCTGGGTTTCTGTTCCAACCTCTCCTATTTTCTGGTACATATATGTCTTCGGCTTACCACTTTGGCTTATTGTGGCCTCCACTCTTTAACCTTTTAGCTCCAAGTCCCAATATCCCTTGACAACCTGTATTTACTTTAGTTCAAATTATCAAGAGAAAATCTGGTCAGCCAGTAATAATTTGCTTCTACTTGGATCAGGTGTCTAACCTTGCGTCAGACAGTCTTCTGGGTTTGGAAGGGTAGAATGTAAGAATAGGGGCTACTGAGATTGGCCCCTTTATGGGACAAGGGAAGGGAGATGGGGTAGAGCAGCAATGATAGCTGTCTAATGCACATTTATAAACTTTTATGAAGAAGGATTTGCTAAATTAGTATAGTATAGGCAGTTTAATACTTTTAGGTTACTTCATAAAAGCATGTATGAAAGCCACGTGGGCAGTAGTTGAATTCATTCTCAGGGAACTAAAAGTAATAAATCTGAATTATAGTGTACATATTTTTACGTCCTCTTGAGTATTATCAATGTATACAAGGTATAATGATAAATGTAGGCAATAAAAATTGAGTTACCCATCCCTACCTCTTTCCCAGGGAACACAATGTAAAGCTATCCTGGCCTCCACACTATTGACCAGTTCCTGGCAAAACAGGAACTTTCTTCTACTCACTGTTTCCTGGATCTCATTCCATACTTTTATCTTTCATATCATTTTTTAAAGATAATACTGAGATTACCTTTTGAGGAACTGCAAATATTCTCCCACTGTTGGAGTTGCAGAGCTACCCAGAACATTTGAGATTCAAGTTTATATTCTGATGCCTTTGGTATAAAGAGAAAGTATAACATTTCTTCAGTTGCATTTGTGAATATCTGTGTTCTTAAAACAGTTGAAGTAATTGCCAAATTACCTCATTTTTCCAAAGGGGCCATTTTGTCTATGCTGTTGGCTCCCAGTATAGAAATATGAAATTGACAGTATGTGATAAACTTTCAAGCATTTAGAACAATGTTCTTTTTTTCGCCATCTCATTCCCTAGTCATCTATACTTCAAAAAGTATTACCGCCATGGAAAGTTGCCCAAGCCAGAAACTTAGATATAATCCTTTATTCCTCTGTCCTCACCCACCATACCAATCCATTGAAAAGTCCTGCTGAGACTATCTCTTGAACATATCTAACCTGTCCACTCTATTCATCTTTTCTTTCCCCACCTTAGTCAATGTGCCAAGTCACCTGCCGTTCTCCCCTGTGCCACTGCAATGGCATCCTCATCTTTCTGCTTCCCCTCTTGCTTCCTTATTCCCCTTTGGTTTATCAATAAGTCAGTGATACAGATTCTGGTGTTCTACTTTTTCATACTTCTAAAATGGAGATGTCTCCAAAAGTAATGTATTCAGTTAATAAACTTCAAGTACTGTACAGTGCTTAGGTTTAATGTCACATCATTTTAGGCAAAAGTGGGCACCATTTTCTGGAAGGAAAGCATTTACAGAAATTACTTACTGGCACGTATTCCTTTATTTTGTTTTGTTTTGTTTTTCTGAGGCGAAGTTTTGCTCTTGTTGCCCAGGCTGGAGTGCAATGGCACGATCTCAGCTCACTGCAACCTCTGCCTCATGGGTTCAAGCGATTCTCCTGCCTCAGCCTCCGAAGTAGCTAGGACTACAGGCACCTGCCACCACACCCAGCTAATTTTGTATTTTTAGTAGAGACAGGGTTTCTCCATGTTGGTTAGACTGGTCTCCAACTCCTGACCTCAGGTGATCTGTCTACCTTGGCCTCCCAAAATAATAGGATTACAGGCATGAGCCCCCACCCCGCCCAACCATCTTCCTTTATATTTATCTTAATTATGCCTTTTTTTTTTTCTTCCAGAAAAATCCTGGGCAGAAGCTGGATCAGCAAGAATGTCACTCCTTATATTGGTGTCCATTTTCTTATCTGCAGCTTTTGTTATGTTTTTGGTATATAAAAATTTTCCTCAGCTTAGCGAGTAAGTATACTGAGAGATAAACTGAAAATGTATAGATATTTATTTATTTATTTTAGAGATGGGGTCTCGCTGTGTTGCCCAGGCTGGGGTGCAGTGGCTGTTCACAGGCGCAATCCCACTGCTGATCAGCATGGGAGTTTTGACCTGTTCCGTTTCTGACCTGGGCTGGTTCACCCTTCCTTAGGCAACCTGGTGGTCCCCGGCTCCCAGGAGGCCACCATATTGATGCCAAACTTGGTGCAGACATCCGATCAGCATAGTGCACTACAGCCCAGAACTGCTGGGCTCAAGTGATCCTCCCACCTCAGCCTCCGAGTAGCTAGGACTACAGGCACGTGCCACCATGCCCAGTATGTGTATTTATAAGATGAAAGTGAATTTAGGCCAAGTGCAGTGGCTGATGCCTGTAATCTCAACATTTTGGGAGGCTGAGGTAGTTGGGTTGGGTCTAGGAGCGTCAGACCAGCCTGGGCAACATGGCAAAACCCATGTGGAAATATATATATGTGTTTATTTATTTGTTTTTTTGAGACAGAGTTTCGCTATGTTGCCCAGTCTGGAGTGCAGTGGCATGATCTTGGCTCACTGTAACCTCCTCCTCCCAGGTTCAAGCAGTTTTCCTGCCTCAGCCTTTTGTGTAGCTGGGATTACAGGTGTGCACCACCACACCCAGCTAATTTTTGTGTTTTTAGTAGAAATGGGATTTCACCATGTTGACCAGGCTGGTCTTGAACTCCTGACCTCAGGTCATCTACCCCCCTCAGCCTCCCAAGGTGCTGAGATTTCAGGCATGAGCCACCTTACTCAGCCTGGAACTATATTTCAGGAGGCCAAAATATCCCAGAGCCATTAAACCCTAGTAATACCACCCTGGTATAATCATAGATTAGATAAAAGACTACTAAAATGCAGTTAGACTTTCAACCAGGGCCGGCCTGATGTGGTAATGGAGAACTATGAAATGTGATTTCAAGTTATCAGGAAGGTCATGTTTTCTTCAAATTGCTTTTATTCACAATTCTTTTTTTTTTAATTGTTACCCAGGATGGAGTGCAATGGCGCGATCTTGGCTCACCGCAACCTCCGCCTCCTGGGTTCAGGCAATTCTCCTGCCTCAGCCTCCTGAGTAGCTGGGATTATAGGCACGTGCCACCATGCCCAGCTAATTTTTTGTATTTTTAGTAGAGACGGGGTTTCACCATGTTGACCAGGATGGTCTCGATCTCCTGACCTCGTGATCCACCCGCCTCGGCCTCCCAAAGTGCTGGGATTACAGGCTTGAGCCACCGCGCCCGGCTGATTTTGGCTTAATGCAATCTCCGCCTCCTTGGTTGAAGGGATTATTGTGCCTCAGCCTCCTGAGTAGCTGGGTTTATAGGTGTGTGCCAGCATAGCTGGCTAATTTTTGTATTTTTAGTAGAGATGGGATTTTACCATGTTGGCCAGCCTGGTCTCAAACTCCTGGCCTCAAGTAATCTGCCCACCTTGGCTTCCCAAAGTAGTGGGATTACAGGTGACAGCCACTGTGCCCAGCCCACAACATTTTTTTTTTTTTTTTTTTTTTTGGAGATGGGGTTTTGCTCTTTTTCCCCGGGCGGGGGGGCATGGGGGGGTCCCGGTTCACCGCAACCTCCGCCTCCTGGGTTCAGGCAATTCTCCTGCCTCAGCCTCCTGAGTAGCTGGGATTACAGGCACGCACCACCGTGCCCAGCTAATTTTTTGTATTTTTTAGTAGAGACGGGGTTTCACCATGTTGACCAGGATGGTCTCGATCTCTCGACCTCGTGATCCACCCGCCTCGGCCTCCCAAAGTGCTGGGATTACAGGCTTGAGCCACCGCGCCCGGCCAACATTTTTTTTTGAGATGAAGTTTCTACATTGTTGCCCTGGCTTGAGTGCAATGATGTGATCTCAGCTCACTGTAACTTCTGCCTCCCAGGTTCAATTGTTTCTTCTGCCTTGGCCTCACAAGTAGCTGCAATTACATGCGTATACCACCACACCCAGCTAATGTTTGTATTTTTAATAGAGATGGGGTTTTGCCATGTTGGCCAGACTGGTCTTGAACTCCTGGCCTTGTGTGATCTGCCCACCTTAGCTTCCCAAAGTGCTGGGATTACCGGCATGAGCCACTGTGCCCAGCCTAGAGTCTTTTAATTTTATATATTTATAAGTAAGAACTTTTAGTTTACTAGGTGTCTTAGAGGACTTGAGAAAGCAGCATTGGGGCTTACACTTCTTTTTTTTTTAAGACAGGGTTTTGCTGTGTTACCCAGGCTGAAGTGTAGTAGTACAATTACAGCTCACTGCAACCTCAACTTCCTAGGCTGAAATGATCCCCTACCTCAGCTTCCCAAGTAGCTAAGACTACAGGCATGCACCACCATACTCTGCTAGTTTTTAAATTTTTGTAGAGACAGGCCGGGTGCTGGGATTACAGGTATGAGCCATTGTTCCTGGCTCACACCTGTAATCCCAGCACCCACCCTGTCTTTACAAAATGTAAATGTAAATAGGTCAGTTACATTTTTTATCATGTAAACAATTGGGAGCTCATGCCTGTAATCATAGCACTTTGGGATGCTGAGGTGGGAGGATCACTTGAATTCAGGAGTTTGAGAACAGCCTGGGGTCACATAGCGAGGTCCCATCTCTATAAAAAAAATTTTTTTTGAAACAGAATCTTGCTCTGTCACCCAGGCTGTAGTGCAGTGGGACAATATCTGCTCACTGCAGCCCCGCCTCGTGGGTTCAAGCATTTCTCCTGCCTCAGCCTCCCAAGCAGCTGGGACTACAGGTGTGTGCTACTATGCCCAGCTAATTTTTGTATTTTTAGTAGAGATGGCGTTTCACCATAATAGTTAGGCTGGTCTCAAACTCCTCTTGATCCACCTGCCTTGGCCTTCCAAAGTGCTGGGATTATAGGCGTGAGCCACAGCGCCCAGCCTATAAAAATTTTTAAAACTAGGAGAGCATAGTGGCATGTGCCTGCATTCCCAGCTACTCAGTAGGCTGAGGTGAGACGATCACTTGAACCTAGGAGATGGAGGTAATATTGAGCTATGATCGTGACACTGTACTCCAACCTGGGTGACAGAGCAAGGGACCCTGCCTATAGAACAAACAAAAAACACAAATGATCATAATATGCATGAAACACAAAGGTGATTATTCGAAACTTTACTAAGCAAGTAATCATTCAGTTCCAAAGTGCCAAATATAGAGTAAAAGTAATAGAAAACTGTTGCAGCTTTTTTGTGAATTTTGATCTGTGATATTCAAGAAGGGTTTGAACTGTGAATGTTACATTTTTACTTAATCTTCATTGTAAATTATTATTTAGTTTATCATAAGGATTACCCAAAATGATGTTAAATGTTTTTTGTTTTTTTTTTTTTAAAGCTGGGGTTTCACCCTGTTGGTCATGCTGGTCTTGAACTCCCGACCTCAGGTGATCCACCTGCCTTGGCCTCCAAAGTGCTTGGATTATAGTTGTGAGCCACCACGCCCGGCCGATGTTAAATGTTTTTAATTTACTAACATCAGTGGCTCATTTCTTATATTCAATTTAAAATTTCTATCAGTGTTGGCCTTTAACCTTTGGTTTGCGTCATCCAGAACTTTCATATATAAGTTACCTGTCTCTGAATCTGCTGAGACATTAAAAAGAAACGGGGCCGGGCGCGGTGGCTCAAGCCTGTAATCCCAGCACTTTGGGAGGCCGAGGCGGGTGGATCACGAGGTCAAGAGATCGAGACCATCCTGGTCAACATGGTGAAACCCCGTCTCTACTAAAAATACAAAAAATTAGCTGGGCATGGTGGCACGTGCCTGTAATCCCAGCTACTCAGGAGGCTGAGGCAGGAGAATTGCCTGAACCCAGGAGGCGGAGGTTGCGGTGAGCCGAGATCGTGCCATTGCACTCTAGCCTGGGTAACAAGAGCAAAACTCCGTCTCAAAAAAAAAAAAAAAA